TCTCTTCTAAAAATACAAAAAGTAGCAGGGCGTGGTAGTGGACGCCTGTAGTCCCAGCTACTTGGGAGGCTGAGGCAGGAAAATTGCTTGAACCTGGGAGGCAGAGTTTGCAGTAAGCCAAGATTGCTCCACTGCACTCTAGCCTGGCGACAGAGAGACTCCATCTCAAAAAATGTATATATATATATATATTTTTTATATTTAATATACATTTATCATATATTTATGTATTTTATATATAATATATATTTATTATATGTGGTTATATTTATATATAATATATATTATATATATAACATCAATATATAATGTGTGTATGTATATATATATATATATATATATATATATAAAGCACTTTTCTATAATTTTTGTAATGGGGTATGTGTGTATATATATATTATATGTATTATATACATATATGTGTATATTATGTATATATATGTATATTGTATATTTGTGTATATTCTATATATTATGTATGTATATTTTACATATAAATTTTTTTTTTTATTTGAGACAGGGTCTCTGTTGCCCAGGCTGGAGTGCAGTAGTATGGTCAAGGGTCATTGCATGACTGCATGCAGTCTTGACTTCCTGGGCTCAAGCCATCCTCGTGCCTCAGCCTCTTGAGCAACTGGGACCGCAGGCATGCACCACCACTCCTGGCTAATTTTTAAATTTTTTTTATAAAGACAATATTGCCATGTTGCCCAGGCTGGTCTCAAATACCTAGGCTCAAGTTATCTTCTTACTTTGGCCTCCCAAAGTGCAGGGATTACAAGCATGAGCCACTGCCCCCAGCCAGTAATAATAATTTATCGTTTTCTATCTCCAACTTTTTGAGACTGTTCACCTCTCTGGGCTGATATTTAACATAAAATTCTGGCCCACTTTGTATTCTCTTTGAAGCTACGGTTAAATTTGGTAAAAAATTATTTCGGAATAGCTGACTGAATGAAATTCTTGTTATTGCGTCTTCCCAAGGGAATATGAAAATCTAGAAAAGTAAATTTTTTGCTTAAATTATATTGTCATTGCACATTTCATTTCTTAGATGATTTTAATCTAAACGATATCTCGTCTAAAACTAATTAGAATTGGTTCTGAAGTTCTCTTTTCAAGGCTACTGTAATATTAAATTCAACCTCTTAAAGTTATATGTGAATTTTTAGGGTAGCTGTAATGAATATTTGCTTACTTGAAGTGGATTTCTTGTTATTGAATATGTTCATTGGAAGTTAATTTTATTCTTAAACCAATAATGAGTCCACGTGTTTATGATTCACTGTTTTTAAACAGGTCAGAAGACTTCTCTAACCCAAGAAACAGAACTTTTGGAATCCTTACTTCAGGAGGTGGAGCACCAGGTGATGAAATATTAAATGTAATGAAATAGTCTTTATCCTTTTTTCTCTGTATACTGTAAAAGTTGTTGTTGTTGTTTTTGACAGATTATCTGTATAAAATTAAAAGATCTGTCAATCTTTATGCTATAATCGAGATTTTTATGAAATAGGAATCTGCTGATTCTTCTCAAGTTTTTCCTTCATTTTTGGGAACTACACTAGTAGAACTACATTCTGCTTTGTAAGAATAGAGTTCTTTCCATAGAAATCTGAATGTATAAAAAGTTAATATCTCCCCACACTGTGTCTTAAGTGGTGGCTTTGAGATATTATTACCAGTTACTTTACACATAGTGAATATTATGCTAAAATTTATCATTTTTATTTGTGGAGGAAATATTAAGTCCTAAATAGCAGGCATTGTTCTAGATATTGGGGATACAGCAGTGAACAAAATGGTGAAATTCTGTCTTCATAGAGTTTATATTTTAGTTTAGGGTAGGTGAATATGAAGCATATAGTAAATGAGTAAATAAAATATATAGTGTTATACAAATATTTGATATATTCACTTGTCTGGAATTTGCTTTTTGTAATATCTCTCTAT